CCATGCCGCTCCAATGACAGGTGAAGCATCAGCAACGCGGCCTGCGATGACAATATCTGCGCCCAGCCCAAGGCCCTTGACAATCTCACGTGCGCCCAGGTATGCATTGGCTGATACGATGGGTTTCCTGTCGCTGTCCAGGAGCGCTGTTGTGTCCTTGGGTACTTTGACTGCTTCGTTCCCCTCATCCAGATGCGGACCTAGCTTTCCAGTCTTCAACATGTCCTTGACATCTTGAATCAAATTGTCGCCCTCGACATAAGCAACCTTCAGATCTAGGCTCTTGCTGGCTACCAACTCTTGCACTCTTTCAGCCAAGCCTTTTGGATTCTGCGCGCCTCCATTGACGATGACCTTGATTCTCTTTTCAGCAAGAACGTCGATAGTCATTTCAAATCCCTCCCACGCAGTCATCTCGTAGCCAGGGTGCTTGCCAGCAGCCATGGCCTCCGCATTCTCCGCAATATTGACTTCTGCCAAGTAATCACCAGTGATGAAGTCGACATCTCCCTGAGTCGCCTGACGGAGCATTTGGTACCCTGGGTCTGCTTTATATCCAGAGCAATTGGCGACCCGCGGAGGTCGTGTACCTTTTTGGGACGTCCATCGAGTCCTGTAGTGCTCGTCCGCCAAGCCGTTGAGCTGGAGAGAGGACATGATCTGGAATGGCAAACTCGGCAATGGTCTCTATGTTGATTGACAGTATCGCAAACGATGACAGCGACGCTTGCAAAATGTCACAATGATCTCGTGGTCAGTTGTAGATTTGAAACAGTCCAAAGAAGAAAAGCCACTCCGTGGCTGGCCTGTAGTAAATGCAATCGGAAAAAGTACAATGTACTAGTCAACCCTCACGCGTCTGAAGCACCGCACGCAAGTTTAGAGACAATGAAACTCTGGGAGAACAACATGTCATTTTCTACCTAGATCTCCCGGAACTGTGAAAGCGGAGGAGCTCTAAGCTCGGGATTGCTCTTCAGAGACGCGTGAGGGGTTCGGCTCGCATGGGTAGTATGCTCCCCAAGTCATGAAGAACTTACTTCGCTATCTTACAGTCATGGGATCAGAGGCAGCAGAATCGACTGATGAGGAGATACAAGACAGGCAGAAGTGCGCGTTGCCTGTAGGATAGTGGGGGTGAGGTGGGGAGTCGTACAGTGCACTCGGTATCTTTTGAGCGAGCGCGCAGTTCGGAATAAGGATCACAGTTCCGGATGGCTTCAAAGTGCCGTTCAAGTGCTTGGCTATGAATCTAAAGTTAGGATGTCGAAAGGACAGCGGACCACCTGCACGCTCATGAAGAGAAGGCGATGATGGTGACTGCAACGCGTCAAGGAGCGCGCCTGAGAAGGTTGCCGCAAGCGCGCTCTTTCCGCGCTAGCTACCTACTTCGACCACCCGTCACGCGCCCCAAGCATCGAACTAAAACATCTAGTCTCAAGCGACTGAAAATATATTGTACCTCTTTCGAGCATTGTTGAGTCTTCATTTAGGGGCTCCATTTCTCAGCGACAATGCCTTGCACATCACGGATACGATTCTCTTGGGCCAACCAGCATCTATGCATTCATACAGACGACACATGTTATTTTCACCCACTCTGAGCCGTTTGATATGCACTTACGGACTACTCTTCCAACCGAATGTGACGAAGCCGGTCCTTGTACGTCGTCTACTAGGGATATTTGAGTATCCGAACGTTGTGCCTTTACGGTCCGTAGGCGTTGTTGATGGCGAAGGATGACCAAGATCATCTGAAAGCTGCTGCCCTCACGTTTGCCGGCTTGCAATGCTACAACTTCCAGAGCCTCCAATTCTGAAGGATCCACTATTCTGTACTAAGCCTAGTCAGCAGGTTTCTCTCACTGGTAGTCCAAAATCTACGAACAGGTTTAGAACAGAAGGCCCTGAGCCTCCGTGCAGTAGTCCATCTGGAGTTCGGTAACACCTCCTGCTTTGTGACGCGCAGTCTCTCTCAATCTTCTTTCATCGCTTCAGTCAAACAGCCGGTATCAGTGAAACTGTCATTGTTCCTCGTCTTTCGCCAATAGGAAGCCAGATCGATCTTGGGTATACTAGGCCGGCAACTTGTTCGGCGCTCGTGAGACAAAAGCCTGCAATCTCTGCGTCACGATATCAAGCTCGCCGGAGGTCGGTCGCAGAAATACTTGAGGTTCCCTGCCATGACTCGCCGTGATTACCTGTCTTGCTGCCGCGTAAGATCCCTTCGGGAGGTAGACGACCGACTGTGTGCTCCCGAGATTGTTCCTAAGGACATCGCAAACTCTTGACCCGACCTTGTGCCCTAGACCTAGTGACCGCTGGGCACCCCTTCTTCCCTTCGGACGACCGTCTATACACTGGTGAAGTTGCTCTATGGGCGCACCTCTGAGTCCTCGTCCTGCTCGCAATCCTCCCTCTTCTCTCTGTTGGGTGCCGCTTCTCATCGTTGGAAATGGACAACCTACTCCCGCGGTCGGTCCGTTACGCAGCTCTGAGCCCTTGTCAGACTTGCCGTCATTCTCTTTGTCTGCGCTAAGCACCACCGCTAGCCGAAGGACCACCTACTTTGTGCTGCCCAGGGCTGCTCTATCATTCGTTACGTGCTCTCGATCGATTTCCTAGTCTCCGTTCGTAGGATCTACCGCCTGCCGCTTGAAACTGCTTTGTTAGCACAAGCAAGGTCTCACGGCACGTACTCTTAGAGCGCGTTGCCTCTCAGGAGATAACTTTCAAGCCCCATAGTTGAATGGAAGAGCAGAGAGTCTGGTCGAGGTCGCCAACAATAGGATGCCGAATAAACGAGGCAGGCGGATGATATTACTCGCCCATCAATTCGCGCTTTACGAGCTAGCACGGTAGGAATGGCTACGAAGAGTGAAATAAGAGCGGCAAGCCGAAAGGCCAGAAGGGGAACGCCGGAGATGAAAGTTTTGAAGAGGTGAGAGCAGCAGACTTATGTGGCACAAAAGAGCGACGGCGATGAGCGATGAGCGTGGATGGGAGAACGTTCTGAACAGGGTAAAAGTCTCTCACAAGCCATGTTCTTCTTATCAGGTCTTGGGTTTCATGCATACGAAATATGCGACGCGCCAAAATTTCGACGACGATCTCTTTAACCATGACATCTAATGCGAGAAAGAAGATGACAACGGCGTAGTGTCTTTGCAGAGCTACGACCGATTTTGGCTTGTCTCAGAGCTCACGCCCTCGATTACGCACGCCTTCTCACAGAACGTTGTTGGCTCGGGTTCGCCCACTGTCCCATTGTTCGCTATCGTTTATCCGATCCGCCGCTTGCTTCGAGATCTGCCATGCAAATCTTCGAGAACACGAATCCGTCTCGGGTGTATATAATAGGAGCGATTTAGTCTGTATTCTGTCTGTTGTGTTGAGCGTACGTCAGGACCCAGGGGCCTTGTAGTGCTTGCGATTCGTTTACCGAGGTATGCCCTGGAGATCGTTCAGCCTTAGCCGCTTGACACATGCTTGGCAAGCTTCTGAATTTGGCGTCCCAGGCTTTGCCAATGCGAAAGGAGATACTCACTGATCATTAACAAAGGCTCCTTTAGTTGCGATGCGACATAGGGTATATCATCAACCGCTCGAATCGTCCTTCTCGTTGCAAAGGTGCTTCTGCCGGCGTTGGAGGATACCGAGGCATGATCATACTGTGTGTTACCGGACGAAGTATATTTATTTGCGATTTATACACGATGCTATCTCTAGCCGGTGCTTAATCTCCTCTGGTCCGTTGGGTAGGCAAACTCATCCCAGGCTTGCAAGAACCTTCTGCTAACTTCCCCATGGCGCAATGGTAGCGCGTGGCCCTCCTAAGGCCAAGGTTGCGCGTTCGAGTCGCGTGCGGATCGTATCAGATATGCGCAGTTTTGGATGGAAAGATTTCTGATCTGGTGGAGACTCGGGACCTTTTTTGGTGCGCTAAATGTTATAGAGCTTCTGCGATGGATGTACACCGTTGCACTTGCACGCAGAAGGCGACAGCGAACGTCATTTGGCCTTGGGTCGCAACCTTTTTTTGTGTTGTTGTCGCAAAGTGACCGAAAGGGATGAGATGGGCTATAGATAGAGCCACGTTGTGCAGCCTTGCAGCCTTACGGCAGGGGTCCCACATGACGTCGGGCCGAGCCCCACCAACAAGCCCCATCGCATCCCACCTTGGCGACTCCTTTCTTCAAGGCGCAGTTGCACCCCACGATACCGTGTACACGCATTTTCCACGCCGCCCAGGATGTCACAGAAGACTACGGTCGTTCTGGGCGCTCAATGGGCAAGTCTTCCACTTATACGATGTTTGCGAATAGCTTAAGAGTCACCGCACTCAAGATCCGAAGTCGGAGCGACATTAGACATCGCGAGCCTAGAATATAGTGCTAATCACATTTGTAGGGCGACGAAGGCAAAGGCAAGCTCGTAGATATCCTCTGCTCATCAGCGCAAATATGGTAAGCTCACATCCTCCGTACCTCTCTTATATTCGTGCTATCTGACAGCAACACTACAGCTGCCGCGCACAAGGCGGTGACAACGCTGGCCACACAATCGTCGCCAACGGAAAGACCTACGACTTCCACATCCTACCGTCCGGCCTGGTCAATCCCTCTTGCACGAACCTCATTGGCAGCGGCTGCGTCGTGTACATTCCTTCGTTCTTCAAGGAACTTGAAGCGCTCGAAAAGCATGGCCTTGACACCACCGACCGCATCTTCATCTCCGACCGTGCGCACGTCATCTTTGACCTACACCGAAAGCTTGATGGGCTTGAGGAGGTGGAGCTCGGCAAGGGCTTGATCGGAACGACGAAGAAGGGCATCGGCCCAACATACTCTACGAAGATGAGCAGAAGTGGTATCAGGATGAGCGACATCTTTGACCACGAACAGCTGTCGTATAAACTGCGTCGCCTAGCTTCCGGGTTCACAAAGCGGTATGGCTCGTTGCTGGACTATGACGTCGAGGAAGAGCTTGAGCGATTCAGGAGCTATGCGGAAAGATTGCAGCCTTATGTAATTGACCAGATACCACTACTGCGAAGTGCAAAAGAGAGCGGAAGGCAGATTCTAGTAGAGGGCGCGAACGCGATCATGCTGGACATCGACTACGGCACCTATCCCTTCGTGACTTCCTCAAATACTGGGCTCGGTGGTGTACTCACAGGTCTGACACTTGGTTGGCGCTCGATAAGAGAGGTGGCAGGTGTCGTCAAGGCGTACACTACGAGAGTGGGCAGCGGCCCATTCCCAACCGAGTTGAACGACGAGCAGGGCGAGAAGATGCAATCGGTCGGTCGCGAATTCGGCGTTACTACTGGTCGAAAGCGGCGATGTGGTTGGCTCGACTTGGTTGTTGTCAAGTATTCGCATGAGGTGAACGACTACACCAGTATCAACCTTACCAAGCTCGACATCCTGGATGATTTTGACACGATCAAAATCGGCACCGAGTACACGTACGAAGGCCAGAAGCTGGAGTCATTCCCTGCAAACATCGACGTACTCTCAAATGTCAAAGTAACCTACAAAGAGTTTCCGGGGTGGAAACAGTCAATACGCGGCATCAAGACGTTTCAGGAATTGCCCGAAAACGCGCGGAAATACATTGAATTCATTGAGGAATTCGTCGGTGTAAAGTGCAGGTGGATAGGCACAGGTCCCGAGCGTGAGAGTATGATTGAGCGATAGCTATGAAGACAAGCGACGGTCGCGCTAGGGCCAAGGGCATCAACTCCCTTGTATGGCTCCGAACGCTAGAAGAATGTACTCTATGCGCAGAAAAAGGGTTAGACATCTGCTTTTATAGAGTTGCTATACTAGATCAATCATGAAATCACTTGGAAAAGCGTGTCCTTCCGGACATTACCTTGAAAGAACTGCATGATGTTGAAAGACTAGGTATGAGTCCGCACAATCTGCTACGTAAAAATTGCGAGGCTGCAAGGCTCTAAGCAATATGACAAAGGGATGACTAAGCAGGGTCACCACTACTACATCCCCCTCAAACCCAAAAGTTCATTGGACGACGTACGGTTGAAGGCTTGTGCGACGGATTTTGGGGCGTGTTTGTGCAGTTACGGCGAGAAAAAGACATTCCGTCTTGATCGTCTCCGCTGACGCTAGCTGAAGGTGCCATCTTCCGAACTTGGAGACTGGTGTATCTATCAAACTCTGGGCTGGTGCTCATCGCTTTTACGGACTGCCTGAAAGCGAGCCGATGTTAAGTCGCCTAGGTGCATCTGCCATTCGAAAAGCTCAACCGAAGATCCAACCATGCAAGATCCATCATTGACCGCGGCAAGAGACTGTTTTGGCGAGGTCAAAGAGCCTATCCGAGGAATCTAACATCAATCTATCACACTTCTGCTTTCTGCTGTGCACCAACCACAGTGGAAG